GACAGGCATTTTGGGTTTTCATGAGCTGTATGCCATAATCATCAGTATTAAAACAATTAAAGACCTGAAATATTTCAGTTGGTGTGCAATGAATCTGAAATATATGAAAGTTTCATTTTTATCATTACATTATGGAAAATAATGACCTTTATCACAATATGCTAATTTTTTGAGAAGGACCTGTAGCATCAGCAGCACAAACTCAAGCATGTAATTTATCATTTTGTTGTCATCTGTATTACACTTGTGGATGTAGGTTAGACACGACGCTTAAATAGTGACATCATAAATTTCTAAACATTGTTTTTAGATTGTCCACATACATAAAAAAGTGTTTAAGGATTGCTTTCACTGTTGTACCCAGTTTTTAAAAGTGCATTTTATGGGCTCTTAAAATGCAGTTTCTGTGTGGACACAAGGCAAAAACAATTAAAAAACGTTTACAAATTTACAGCAACCATTCTTGTGTGGACAGGGCCGTAGTGTGGCTGAACTGTAACGTGACACGACTGGCTGCTCACACTATTCTTGCTTGTAATTTCTGTGCTGCAGAAGAGCTCAGCTGTTCTCAAACCAGCTGTTCATTGTTCAGACAGAAACATAAGCCAGTGGCAACAGACTGTTGAATCGTTACACATCAGAAAAACGCCGTGCATTATATAAAAAGATTATTGCAGTGAGTTTGGACATAACACCTTAGTGACAATAATCTTATTCTTTAATTTATTTCTTATTGACATAAAAGAACCAGAGTCGTTATCAAAAATAGCAAACCAACATATCCTTATGGTTTTGTGTTTTACTTTTATTGTTTAATTAGTCATAATTTAAATTGATAATGGTTAAATTAAATAATTACAAATGTGACATAATATTTAAACTTTTTAATGTAATGTTAACGTTTTTCTGTGTATAAAATAATACATTCTGACAAAGCATTTGTCATTTATTTAAAGTAAAAGTCTTACAGAATAAGAAGGTAAAGCAGATTTTTGGGACTCACCGCTGCTTTATACACATCATCCATGGCTGCAGATTTGGTCTGGACTCTGCCACCCCTCCAACACCAGCAAGAATACTGTCCCCTGTCTTCCTGTTCTCCTGAACAGATGATGGAAGGAGGAGTGACAGACAGACAAACATAGACAGATAGAGGGCACTATAAAAGGAAAATGACAAAAGACACCTAAAAATAGTGGATCATTGACAGCTCAGTGGAAGTGGACAGACTTTCTGTAGACTTCTCACAGGTTATTCTAATATTACCAAAGGTGAAAGGGTGATCATATTTTTGCCCATGTGTGTGTGTTTGCATTTGTTACCTTGTAAGGCCCATTTTTCCAACTCATACTACACTGTGAGGACCCACTGCTCCTTATGGGGCCCAAAGCCCGTTAGGTTTAGGTTTAGTTTTAGGTACGTGCTGGTAATGGTTGGGCTTTAGTGTAAGGATCGGGTTAGGCTATAGAAATGGATGGAAGTCAATGCAAAGTCCCTGTAAAGATAGCAAAACATACTGTGTGTGTGGGGGGGGGGGGATGTGTGTGCATGTGTGCGTGCATGTCTGTGTGTGTGAACCAATGGGCAAATTTTAATGAATTTTAATGAACCTCTCAAAGTAATTTATGGACGTACATCCACAACTCATTAACATTTGCTGTCAGCCTAATTCAAGATGGCCGCTACAGTTCATCACCCTTTGCCAGTACAAATATAGTTTAAGGTCAGTCAGTTTTACAGATACTGAAAGATCGCCCATTGACGGACTTGTGACCTGTCCAGGGGGTACTACGCCTTTCACACAGTGACTGCTGGAGTTAAACACCTGCTCCCCGTGACCTGGAAAATACTGGTAAAGAAAATGGATGGATGGATGAATGGATGGACATGTGACAATGAAGAACAACTTCTCCTGCTATCCTTTTTTAAAATTAGAAACACTGTGGTAGATTCAACTTCAGCTTTTCTGCAGTCAGAAAAAAAAAATGGTTTCAAAATCCCGAGAGAGGCGTGAGGTGGTTTGCTGGGAGTGGAGAGCTACTTGAACTTTTGATTGTACTTTTCTCATTAAAGGTCTTGCATTTCTTGAAGAATTACATACAACCTGCCATTATCTATCTGAGATCTATATATCTGTGTCCCTCCTATAATTCACAGACACCTTCAGGCACAATCCCACATGAGATGTTCTCGCTCTGTGTTGTGGACCACTCACAGCTAACACCACACCAAATTAGATAGTTATAGGCATTTTGGTGTTTTCTAATGTAAGTTGACTTTTGTTCCCATTTTAATTTGGGTTGACTCCAAAACTCAATCAATTAAAGTTGCAAATCAAAAAATTAATTCCTAAACGTTTCATTAAAATATTTTCAGTCTTATTTGACCAATCAGCTTCAGACATTCTGAATATAAAGAGTATAATCTGTGTGCTCATCTCTCTGAGTGGCTGTTTTGAGTATCTGGGTAAATCAGATTGTTGAAATGACAATAGAGACACAGATGGAGCTATTTTCAGTCTCTGCCTTCACTGGAAATATTTGCCCTTTTTCAGAGGCAGTGAAACAGGATCTATAACAGTAAATCTGTTTACAGACTGGTAGTGTGATCAGTACCACCTGTCAATGAGCAGCAACTGTACAGCAGATATTAAGAGTTTAACTGTATGAGGAGATCTCTAAGGAAGCACACCCTGACTGCTTGTTGCCTGCCACTGAAGGTGATAATGTTTTTTCCCGTGTGTGAGTTAATTTGTCCGTACCATTAGCAAAATGGCGAGGGAGGAGTTGTGGCGTTGTATGAGGAAATCTGGAGTGACAGAGAAAGTATGTAAGACTGTACCAACTCACTGTATGTGAGATGTCCTGTACGAGTGGCCGATAGCTTCAAAGTGGCGGTGGGACTGAATCAAGGAGAAGCTCTGAGCTCCTTCTTGTTTGTTCTATGAGTCTGTGGTGAAAGAGAATTGGGAGAGGAGGAGGTATGCACTTGAAAGAAGAGGAATGAAAGTCAGCCGTAGTAAGACAGAGTACATGTGTGTGAATGAGAGGGAGGCCGGTGGAACAGAGAAGCTACAAGGAGCAGAGGTCACATAGTGCAGCAGCAATAAATAATAAACATATTGTGTCACAAGCTAATATTAGTCATATTAGCTGTCACAGATGTGGCTTGGTGCATGCCAGTTGTTCAGTGTTATTTATTGAGAGTTCAGTAATCTGGCAGCTTGTGGATAATAGCTGTCCTTTAGTCTTTTCGTGTGCGATGGCAGACTCCTGTATCGTCTGCCTGAGGGTAGTAGATGGAAGAGTCCTTGTGCTGGGTGGGTGTGGTCCTTAATGATGCTTTTTGCTTTACGCAGACATCGGCTGTGGTAGACGTGGAGACTGCTACCAGTGATGTCCTCTGCTGTTTGCATCACCCTCTGTAGTGCTTTCCAGCTCTGACTGGTTCCCGTACCACCCCGTGATGCAGCCTGTCAGCAGGCTCTCAACCTATAGAAGTTTGTGAGGATGCTGGTGTTTGTACCAAACTTCTTTAGTCTTCTTAGGAAGTAGAGTCTTTGTTGGGCTTTCTTGACCACAGTGTCTGTATGTAAAGTTCAGGACAGATCCTCAGTAATGTGAACGCAGAGGAACTTGAAGCTGCTGACCTGCTCCACCTCAGCGTTGTTTATGTTGATGGTGGAGTGCTGGCCTCCACGCTGTTTCCTGAAGTCCACTACCATCTCCTTTTGTTTTGCTGACATTTAGAGAGAGGTTATTTTCCTGACACCAGCTGGTCAGTGATTTCACCTAATCTCTGTAGGCACTCACGTCATTGTTGGTGATGAGGCCCAAGATGGTGGTGTCATCAGCATACTTGAGGATGACGTTAGCGCTGTGCTTGGTGGTAGTCATGTGTAAATAGTGAGTACAGGAGTGGACTGAGGACACAGCCCTGAGGTGTACCGGGCTGAGGACTAGTGTGGAGGAGAGGTGACTGCTGATTCTCACTGCCTGTGCTCTGTTGGTGAGGAAGTCCAGCATCCAGCAGCAGATGGACTTCTCCAGGCCCAGTGTGGTGAATTTGGAGATCAGCTTGGAGGGGATTATGGTGTTGAATGCTGAGCTGTAGTTAATGAAGAGCATTCTAACATAGGTGTTTTTCTTCTCCAGATGGCTGAGGGAGGTGTGAACTTCTAAAGCAGTAGCATCATCTGTAGACCTGTTTGCTCTGTATGCGAACTGTAGCAGGTCCAGGGTGTCAGGGAGGGAGGCACAGATGTGTTTTGATCATTTGCTCAAAGCACTTCATGATGACAGATGTGAGTGCTATGGACTGAAAGTCATTAAGGCAGGATGCTCCAGAGGTCTTTGGGATGGAGACAACAGTTGAGGTCTTGAAGATGGTGGGCACAATACACTGGCTCAGAGACTGGTTAAAGATGTTGGTAAACATCTTGATGAGTTGGTCAGGTTACAGCCTTATTCTAATTTGTATTAATCACTTTCCTCATAATTCGACATACAATACTCCATTATGATGATGTGAAAAAAAATATTTTTGAGATTTTTGCAAATGTATTAAAAATAGAAAACTAAGATTTCATTTTAAGTAATTATTCCCTTCACCATCACAGCAGCACCCTCTAGTGACAAGGAGCATCAACACATGAGTAAACGAAAGCAAAACTGACCACTAAAGTTAGGCACAAACTTTCCAATACATAAATTGAGGTAAATAAAATGAATGGCTGACGAGCTGGATAGAAAACTTGACTTGTCTTATCCCTCAAACATGACAAGAGGTTTTATCTGCATCCCTGATGGAGTGTACTCCATCTACACAGGGTGTACAGAGCTCAGCACATGCACACAGAGCACAAGAAGTTTTAAAAGCTGTCTTTTTAATTTTTATTTTCCTGATTTCATCACTTTCTAAAAAATGACAGACATCTGGGTTCTGTCAGACGAGCTAAATATTTTTTTTATTAAAGCCGAGCTTCTACCTTATAATTCTTTGAAAATAACTTAAAAACTGTTAAGTCAACCTTTTCCCGATTTTGGACTTCTTTTTTATTACAACAGAGACAGAAAAATACATGTGAGAGCAGCGTTAATAGCCATATTCACATACAGTTTAGGTGAAAACAGAGCTGGTAGAGTGTGCTAGCTGTTGACACATCATGAGGACGTAACAAACATGATCATCATCACGACGTGCTCCACAAACAATGAACAGTTTATGCAGGTGAACAACTGATAAGATGTACATGAACATTTTCGAATTTTAAATCCATTTCAAAATTTTAATGAATTGTGAACAAGAATTCTTTCATTAATCTGAGCCATCTATTAACTTTCATAACAAGGTCAAGAACTCAAACGAAAAAGAAAACATCTACCGCCCAATGGCCACATAATGAATCCACAGAGGTTTGATGGTTCTCAAATGATAATCCTGATAACGTTAGGGTAAAATACCTATACAAATGTACTCTGGCACCCTACATACTGTATGTATGCACCGTACATATCACAAGAAAGCTGAGATTTCTTCGCTGTTTATTTGTAGAGCGTCATTTTACATTTATTTACAAGATGCATGTAAAAGATTTTACATTTTCAAATCATCAGCAGTGGAAGAATGAACGCCAGTAAGAGGAGTGGGTTGTATTATTTCAATCGGGGACGCAGTGGTATTAAATTTGATTCATTAGATTAATTTGGAGCAGTTTTGAACAACTGAATTGATTTAAACTAAGAATCACATCTGCTTAAAACAAGGAATGATATAGAAAGGACAAAAATAAGCTAACTGAAAAATAAATCATTAATGGTGTGCAGTAATAAAACACTACAGCTGGATAAAACAGTCAGAGTAAAACTACCAGTCTGAACGTTGGAAAATAAAATCAGATGAACCAGTTTGACAACAAAGTTCCCTTCTCACTGGGAAGAACTGATTACTGGTATTTAAACAGGTTCCTCTCTGCAGATCAGAGCGGAAGACTTATCAGTTTATAAACACGAAACAGGTTAAATTTAATGTGCATGTGAATAAAATTAAAGTCCTCACTACTTAGAGTAACAGCAGTAGGCATCACCAATGTTTCTGGTAACTTGAGATTTCCTGGTATGTGATGCTTTGTGGTGCCGATCCAGTGAGATTAGCTCTGTAGAAGTTTTTGGCTTTGATTGAAGTTCTTCAGGTCCTTCAAGCTCATGTCAGATGATCAAATCACACATCAGCAGAAGTACCAGTGTTGCGCCCGTCAGTAGAACACACCTACGACACCCCGTCACTGGTCCCCACTTGTGGACTCTCTCCGCCAGTTACCAGATTGCAGAGGAGTTTGCGGCGACCAGCCAGGTAGTCCTCCTCATCAACATTAACCAGCAGTTTTATGGCCTCGTGGCCCACAGCTTGCTTCAAGGAATCTGTAATAAAGACCCCTTTCAGGGCCTCAAGCAGTGACCCGTTGATGTAGTCCCTCCAGAAGGCATCCAAGTAGGTGAGCTCGGAGAACTTGATGTCACAGATAATAGAACCCAAGTCTCTGGACTTCAGAATGGTGTTAGCCTGATTGAAGCGTTCAAACTGTCGCTCCACAGGCTCCTGCTTGTTCGAGAAGACGTTGCCCTGAAGTGCAGACTCGTGCTGACAGTATTCTGCACGAACCCGGAGACGGATATCTAACAGAGGGCAGACAAAAAAAAAAAAAGGAATTACCAGAAGTCAAGCAAATATATTACAGACATCCCTTAACACTGGATGATGACCCTGCTAGAATGTAAGAAAAATAAATCTATCAGTCACAATGTTAATTGGTCTTGGTCATCAGGGACACATTAAGAACACATTACAAATCACAGAGTTGTAATGATAGGCCCTCAATCATTCTGAGCCTGCACAGAACTTCTTTAACCAGGATATGCAAGTTTATCAGTGTACTGATCATGACATGATCATTAAGCAATTTAGTTTCCATCACACTGACCTGGCAGAACATCTAGTAAATTACTGCAACACTCTCTCCATATGACTGCTATGACCAATCCTTGCTTACAATGTGCCAATGTTACAAGATGAACTTGTTATCATGAACAGACCTGCTAGGCGAGAAAGGAAGGTTGTACATAGATAAAATTCTGTACAAAAACACTTAAATATGGTTATATCATCTACCTGGCCCTTTTTATTAAGTATTAATCAGAATTCTCAAACAATTCAGCTTAATCTGTGTCCGACTTTGACATTTTCCAATGATTTGACTCAATCATTTTCCATGCTCATAGATGGTCTACTCCAGTACAGCGAAGAGCTGAGCTGCTTCCATGGGCTGTCTGCTAAAAAGCCTAGAATATCAACAATATAGACTAGAACTGCCACTGTCCAAGCCACTTGATGCACATCATCCCTGACTCAAGTCATCACCAGCATCCCATCCACCTGTACATTACAGAGTTGTACAATGATGTCAAGTATATAAAAGCTCTGTTAGGACTCGAGTGAGTGAGTGAGTGCAGACTAGATGGCTGGCATGCATGTATTAAATCATATTTATTTAATTGATTCCAGTTTGTAAATGTAAATAATGAATCTTCTTCATACACCAAAGTTAGTCATGGAGTTCCTCAGGGTTCAGTGCTTGGACCAATATTCTTCCCTTTATATATTATTTCATTGGGGGAAAAAAATGATGCAGAAAAACTTGTCCATGCATTTATCATGTCTAGGCTGGACTATTGGTACTAGTGGTTCCTAGAGTTTTCAAAGTAGAATGTGCGGCAGAGCTTTCAGTTATCAGGCTCCTCTTTTGTGGAACCAACTTCCATTTTCTGTCAGTGACACTTTTACTTTACTTACTTTACTTTTAAGACGAGGCTCAAATGGTAAATGGACTTGGATACCTCCAGAAGGCATCCAAGTAGGTGAGCTCAGAGAACTTGATGTCACAAGATAAAATAACCTAAGTCTCTGGACTTTAGAATGATGTTAGCCTGTTTGAAGTGTTCAAACTATAATGCTTTTCTATCTAATCAAGACACTCAAAAGTGCTTTACAACACAATCTGTGCCCTTCTTTACCCATCTACACACACATTCATACAGCACTCTACTAAAGGTTGAATGAACTAGATCTCTACAAAGCTAATTGAATAAATTATTCTATAGAGACTAATCACTGCTTTAAGATCACATTCACAACCTTCTCAATAACTTTTTGAGTAGGCTAACATCTCAGAGTAGTAGGCTGGAGTCATTTCCCAACATCAACACACACATGTTCTGTGCAGCAAAAATGTTGGTGAACGCAGACTGTTTAAACACTGACCACTGATGAAAATATCTTACCAGCATCACAGGCATGGAAACAGTCATGAAGTCATAATCATCAGTAGTCATCAATCAATTTTGTTGAGCGTGATAACATATATGTTCAAGAATATAATAAATAATTATTTCATAATGTATTTTATTCATGTTCCTCGGGGGGTAGGAATCAACCACCTTATTTAGCTGCTTCAAAATACTTGTTTTAAAATAATTGTTCCATAAAAAAAACAAGTCAGTCTTTTGGAGCAGTCTCAGCCTGAAATAAAAATATTTTTTTAATTTTATTTTAGGTTTTTTTTTTTTTGGTTAAAAAACAAACAAAACAAACAAAAAAAAAAACTCTACACGCAGTTTATTTTTAAATTGACTAAATATTTATTTTACAGTAAAAAAAAAAAGGTATTTTCCTCCAATAGTACACTTTTTGGGTCAATATCCACATCCTCCTTTGTTCTCCAGAACTCAGAACTGATGCTTAGTTCTATTGGTCCAGTCAGAGGGGTTCTGGACCCCCTCTGTGCAGAGTGGGGCTCAGTGCTCAATTCCTCTTCTAAAACAAATTTTGATCCCGCTCTTCATTAACAAAGTCCTCTCTGACAGACTGTTTTTCTCCTTCATGAAAGTGAAGGAGAAAACCTAAAAAAACAAATAAAAAAAATCAAACAACCAAACTCATCTCTCCTCTGTCTGAGAGGTTTGGATTCGGTGGTTTTGTCCTCTTCTGGGTCTGCAGCTCCACTTCACGTTCAAAAATTTTCTCATTGTTTTGACTCAAACACACTAAAACTGACTAAACTAAACCCTAACTAACTATAAAACCCAAACACACTAAATATCACAAATCTCTCAGACCTCATGACTCACTTCCGCTCTGTCTGTGACTTGATCAGGCACTGAACTCCATTCAAATTCCACGTTTTTCTTCTTCTTCCTGTAGATTTTTTAGTGCTTGAAAATAACTTCGAGCCTCCGTCAGAAAGGAGGGGGGTCGTTGTTTATATGATCGGTGGGGGTGGAAGGTAAAAGCGGAGGAGGATGGGGGTGTTTTGTCCCTGAGACTGCCCGTTTTTGCCGCAGCCTCTTGCTCTAACACACTTCAGATAAGATGATGATTTTCAGAAAAAGATGTGGTGTGGATTACTGATCATAATTCTGTTTTTACTTGTTCTATCAACACGATTTGAAAAACTGATGTGTAGTTTCAAGTCTGTACTTTTGACACAAATTAAAATGGAGTCTCTGAGAGGCTGTGTGCTTCCTGCAAGAGCGACTGAAATCAGTAATATAACTATCATGCACTGGTAAAGGACTGCATCTGACGAAAAAAATAATTGTCACTCAAAGTAGGCAGTGCCAGACACTTAAGTAGGTGGCAAAATCGCCACCTGCCACCTGTTATTGAGAAGGTAGCATTCATACACCAATGGGACATACATCAGAGGCAATGAGGGGTTCAGTATCTTGCCTATGGACACTTCAACATGTGACTGCTCGTGGAATCGAACCTTCAGCTCTCCCAGTGGAGGACGACTGCTCTAACCAATCAGCCACAGTTGCCCCAAAAGACTTTTCTTTTTGACAAATGCTAATTAAGATTAGCTTGGGTTTCCTGAGCTTAAGTATACTTGGTTATTAGTCATGCTGCTATAGGCTTAGACTGCTGGAGGACAAATTCAATTCAATTCAATTCAAATTTAAAAATACTTTATTAATCCCAGAGGGAAACTAAATGTTGTTCTAACTCATCATCCTGGTTTCATTAAAGAGTTGTTCTAGATGCTGACGTCTGTGAGCAGGAAGGATCTCTTGTAGTGGTCTGTCCTACAACGGATTTGAAGAAGCCTCTGACTGAAGACACTCTGTTGTTGTATGACAGTCTGATGAAGAGGATGCTGAGGGTTGTCTATAATATTCTTCATTTTATGAAGAATCATTCTTTGAACAATCATCTCCAAAGGTTCTAGAAGAGTCCCCAGAACTGAGCCAGCCTTCTTTATGAGCTTGTTGATCTTTTTGAAGTCACTTGCTCTGGTGCTGCTACCCCAGCAGATGATGGCAGAAGAGATAGCGCGCTCTACATCAGACTTATAAAAGATATGCAGCATCTTGCTGCAAACACTGAAGGACTTCAGCTTCCTCAAGAAGTGCAATCTGCTCTGCCCCTTCTTCTTGTAGACGCTTCACTGTTGCATCTCCAGTCCAGTCTGTTGTCCAGGTGAACTCCAAGGTATTTATACTTCTCCAACACCTCCACTTTTTCTCCCATGATGGAAATAGTGTTGGACCTGTTCCTGATTCTCCTGAAATCTACAATCATCTTTGTTTTGTTCATATTCAAGATGAGATGATTGTTTCCACACCATGCCACAAAGCGGTCCACCAGTTCCCTGTACTCAGCTTCTTGTCCATCTCTGATACACCCGACCACTGCAGAGTCATCTGAATATTTCTGCAGATGACAAGAGTCGGGTTTTGTCCACAAAATTTTATCAAAAATGTTTTGTCCACAAAAATTGTCCACATTTCATCACTCTGATGCTGTCTTTACTTGGGTCTACCTGTTTATATTTGTAATTATTTCTATCCTTAATGTGTTTTTTTGTAAAAAAACAAACAAAAAAAAACAAAAAACCCCCTTTTGTCAAATGAGCGTTTTTCCTTTCCACTATTGCCTTTCTGCTTGCTTAGGATGGGCAGTGCAATCTGTTGCTTCCTTAGTTACTGTAATTGTCAGTGTATAAGCTGCTACTTTTTTCTCACACTTTAGACTGCACGACTTATAACTAGAGCAGCTATCTTGTGTATTTTATTTTATAATTTTAATAATTTACATCTTTATATTTTATTTTGACAGGCTTCCTGCCGTCTCTCAGTAACTTCCTGGCGCTGAATAACATTTTCCATCGACAGAGCTGGGTGCTCATATAGCTGCTCAGTGCTCACCCCTCTTGGGGACGGGCTTTTGTGAGACACAAAGTGAATGCTTCACGTAAACATATGTACCAAACCTCTCGCTCAGGGTTTCCAATTTCCTACCCATAACTCCACCCACTCTGTTATCATGTGACCAGAAGTCTAACCTAAATGACCAATGAGGTATACTCTTGAGGACCCATCCCCCATGATAGATGTGCATAAATTGAAAAACATCTTTTTAGTGTCAACTTTTAGGAGTTTTATCACAGTAATCACATTCTGACTTATGACTCCACACTTTAAGGGTTGTTATGTTTGAAAACTAATTTATGGACTTTCTTGTCACTAAAAGTGCTTGAACACTAAAAGCTGTGAGACAGGAAAACTACACAAACAGATCTGACAGAATCAGTGCAAAAACTACATGTTCCTTTGACACCCGTTTTATAAGTTGCTTATGAATAAAATAAAATATCATACAGAATCCTCACTCCCCAGAAAATATTTTTATTTATTTATATCCTGATTCATGCTCAATAATCCAGGTAGAAAAGTCCAACAAAGTTAAGTCAGGTCTTCTGGACATTTTCCTTTTGCTGAAACGTTTCGTCTTTCATCCAAAATACTTCATCAGCCCGAGGAGCTGAAACAAACGCAAGTCTTATAAATAATAATAATAAAAATATTTTACCACAGGTTTGCTTTTCTTTGCAGTCAGCTGAGAAGTGACTTCGGGTCCTCTTGCGGTGTGATGCAGGAGCAGCGGGTTTTGATCGAGAAGAACCTACACGTGGTCCTGATGAGGAACAGCAAAAGACGGGGTGTGGCCCTGAAGAGTGATATTGGAAGATAAGGTCATTAGGATTTTATGTGATAATAATCACGTGATGAATGGGAGGAAGATCTTTCAGTTATCAGGTTCTTCTCTTGTGGAACCAACTTCCAGTTTCTGTCCTTGAGGCTGACACATTGTCCAGTTTTAAGATTAGGCTCGTTTCCTTTTTAACAAATCCTATAGTTCGGGTCGGATTGGGTATCCTGAGCTATCCATTAGTTATGCTGCTATAGGCTTAGTCTCCTGGGTGAGAAACTGAGCACATTTCATCCCTCTGCTGCTGTCTTTACTAGTTCTAGTCTACCTGTTTGTATTTGTAATCATTTCTATCCTTAACACGTTTTTTGGTTAAAAAAAAAAACCCCTCCCTTTTGTTGAGAGTTTTTCCTGTCCACTGTTGCTTCTGTGATTGGTCAGGATGAGAAACCGCGACGAAGTGAAGATTCACACAATCTGCAGGCTTTCTTAGATCGACAACTTTTACTTAGCTTTACTTTAGCTTTTATAATGTCAAAGCTTTGTGCAGTGCCCCGAGACGACTTTTGCTGTGACGAGGCGCCATGTTGTTTTACAAAGAACGCAAGTGCCAAAGTGATGTATGGAAAGAAATTTGTAGAGCACTTTACATTTGCAAATTTTAAAGTAGTACACTTCCATTTCAAGTCATAAAACAAACAAATAAAATAACTAAAATCAGATAGGGCCATAAAAACTACAAAACAGAAGAGTTCTCAATGTTTTTTTTTTTTTTAAGGCTTCTGGCGTCTGTGGTTCCCTCAGGTGGTTTGGAAGTGAATTCCACAGACGAGGTGCAGCAGAGAAAAGGTTCTTTTCTCCGTGGTTCTGAGCTTTGTTCTGGGAGTATGAAGATGGAATGTCGGAACACAGAGAACAAGTTTTAATGTGTGGGGTGAGCATCTCCTTGAGGTGGTGGTGGTGTGGTGGTGGGGGGTGTCAGAATAAACATCTTAATCTTAATATAATTAGGGGTTGAAGAAGAAAAATATATTTTGACTGAAATTTTTTCTACACCTAGATGTTACCTGAGCATAATCAGCTGTATAGAGCTGCCGCACCTTATCTATGTATAATGCTATGTATAATGTATGTCTATGGTGCTGGTGACGCCCACAGACGGGTTCACGTGTGCAGCGCATGTTGTCGAACGGCTTCAACAACACACGAGCAGAAAGTTGCTCCGTGTTTCTCTGCAAGAAGACAAGAAGCAGCCTCCCCCTCCTCCTCTCAGCGTTAGTCAGTCTCTGTGTGTGTGAAACGGACTGAATCAACATTCCACAGCCGGACTCGTCTTCATCAAAGAACTCCCAAGGACGGCTCTGTGTCTGTGTTTCAGCTGGTAAGTTTACGTTTGTTAATGTTACTGTAGCTTAACACGTGCATCGTGGTGAAATAACGCTAACTTTAAGATATTAGTGTGTAAATTTATTTTATTTACATAGCTAGCTAAACTCAGAAGCTAATTAAAGATTGACAGTAACAGATAAATCTTAGCTTGTAAAACTGCTCATCCATCCAGTCAGCTGCTTAAACAGTTCACTAATGTTCACCGTTTGTTCATGTTCTCCTCACAGGAGGTTCTGATCCAGATGTGAGGACAGAGACAGACAAAAGAAAAGCAAGGTCGGGGCCACAGGACAATCACAGACTTTGTTGTTAAAAGTTTGCTGTCTTTTCTACAGTGGAGCTGCACGGTGGAAGTAAGTTAAGCTGTAAAGGATATTATTTATCTCTCAGCCTAGATAATGTTTTTTGAGCAATAATAACACAACCATGTTATTGTTGATGCTTTGTTCTAATGTCAATAAGGGAGATGATCAGAGCCCTAAACCCCAAAGAACCACAGAGAAGATTCAGGCAGAGACACAGAGGTGCAGAAGTCTGCATCATCCCTACCTCATTGAATCCAGTGACCTGCTGGTGGAATGTGAGGAACAATATGTCAGTGCTATCAAACTTGACAACCAGGTATCTGTGTGTGCAACAATCATCATCTACAGCCTCAGAGGGAACACTTCGTACTGCTGGAGACACCATCAGCCAGGAGTGGATTGTTTGTGTCCAGAGAAAGCAGACATGTTGTTTCTGAAGAAAAACTGTTCAGTGAAAAGGTCCTCAGTGTGTAGCAGTGAGCATTAGACACTGACGTGTCACTTGTTGTTTGCAACTGTTCTTTTGAACTGGAAATTATTTGTTTATTTTTATGTAAGAAAACTGCTTGGAATAGAAATACCAAAGTTAAAAAATAAAATTCACAATATGTACTGTAATGTGTAACGTAATTTTATTCTTGTTAGAATTAATATTAATTACAAAATTGGTACCGAAAAAAGAACCGTCCAGGAACCGACACCGAAGTGAAGGTACCGACACCGGTACTGATACAGATTTTTTTAGAAAGGTACCCAGCCCTACCCCACACACACACATTCATTTAGGCATTCTGAAGGAAAAGATGGGTTTGGAAAAACTTTTTTGTAGTTTACTTTTATGCCATTTCAGTGTGTTTTATTAAGGGGTTGTCAAATATATACATACAAAATAGCACAAGGAGTCCTTTGCAGATGTCCAGGCCTGTTTAAAGTTTGTTAATGATCATATGGATGATCCAGAGGAGGCATGGGACAAGGTCATTTTGGTCAGATGAGACCAAAATAGAGCTTTTAGGTAACAACTCCACTCACCGTGTTTGGAGGAAGAAGGATAAGTACAACCCCAAGAACACTGTCTCAACAGTGAAGCATGGGAGTGGAAACATCAGACTTTGGGGGTGCTTTTCTGCAAAGGGGGCAGGACAACTGCACCATACTGATGGGAGGATGGATGGGGTCATTTAATATGAGATTTTGACCAACCACTTTCTTCCCTAAGTAAGAGCACTGAAGAAGAATGGTGGCTGGGTCTTCCAACATGACAATGACCCGAAACACACAGCCAGGGCAACTAAGGAATGGCTCCGTAAGAAGCATTTCAAGGTCCTGGAGTGGCCTAGCCAGTCTCCAGACCTGAACCCAATAGAAAATCTTTGGAGGGAGCTCAAACTCAATGTTGCCCACAATGCCCAGTGACAGCCCCCAAACCTGAAAGATCTGGAGCAGATCTGTATGGAGGAGTGGTCAGAAACTACAGGAAACATCTGACCCATGTAACAGCAAACAAAGTTTTCTGTACCAAACATTAAGTTCTGTTTTTCTATTGTATCAAATACATTTTTCATGCAATAAAATGCAAATTAATTTAAAATGCAATCTGCATTTTTGTAAGTGGAAAACCTTTCAAAATCGGGAGTGTATTTCCCCACTGTATATTTTTTAATTTGCAGGACTGACAGATTTCTCCCCTAACGACAAAGGAATAACGTTTAAATCAGGACTATTCAACTAAACTGCTCAGGGGGGCACACATACTGAAAACCAGCAGCTCAGGAACTGGACATCCAGCAACTAAAGTCATTATGTCAATAAACCAAGTATTACAATGATCCATTACCTTTTTAGTTTGTCTTTTTTTTGCCACATTGAATCATAAATGCAATAAACAGAATTCAAAAGTGTAATTCAAAGAAATTACATTTCAAGATGTTTTTCTTTACAATAAAAGTAGTGATATTCTAATGTGAAACAATATTATAAACAAAAACTACACACTATGCCTCCGATTTAACACAAAAAATATTTTGCCATCTCTCACTTGCCAAATATTTGTTTTTAAAAAAAAAAAAAAAAAAACGTTGACCATTATTGATGTTCCCTGAGTGACTGACATGTTGCTATGTAGGACAATTCTCATTTACAGTAAAATGGCTGTACAGACCAGTTCTTCCTCAAATGGTTCATAAATCACAGGTGAAGCGTCCCGCTTAGATGTGAGCTCTGAGCGGAACCAAAAGAGGCGGAGCAGAACTCAGCTGGGCTGAAAGTGACCGTGATGTGTGTCTAACGTCTTTGTGTCATTTACTATAATGAAATAACTCAATCGATCCTATTTGTGGTTAACTTTTTTTTTAAACTAACTACAAAGCTGCTGTGGGTCCTCATCAATATCCCCCCAGTAATAAATCTGTTTGTTGTGGTTTAATCCGGCTCACACCACACACTGATATCAGTTTATCGGAACTCCCCGCACAGCAGAAGAAAGAAAGAGCGCACACCCGCGAGGGCATGCAGCCTTTCGACTCATCCATCCATCATCTTTACCCGCTTCTTCTGTTTTGGGTTGCGGGGGTCACTGGAGCCCATATACAGCCATCAATGTATGGAAGGCAGGGGACACCCTGGACAGGTCTCCAGTCCATCCATGGCTGCAGCTGAGTGGTTAGATCAGTCGTCCTCCAATGCAAAGGTTGGGGGTTCGAATCCGCCAGCAGTCACATGCTGAAGTGTCCCTGGGCAAGACACTGAACCCCTCACTGCCTCCGATGTGTGTCCCATCGGTGTATGAATGTGATAAAGCTCTGATTAGTCTCTTTAGAATGATTTATTCAATTAGCTTTGTATAGATCTAGTAGAGTGCTGTATGAATGGGTAAATGAGGACACAGATTGTTGTGTAAAGAGCTTTGAGTGTCTTGAAATAAGATAGAAAAGCGCTATATAAGTACAGTCTATTTAATCCATTTACATAGAGACAAACAAGACAACCATTCACTGTCTCACTCTCATTTAGGGACAATTTAGAGTTACCAATCAACCTAACATGCATGTTTTTGGTCTGTGGGAGGAAACCGGAGTACACGGAGAAAACCCACGCATGCACAGAGAGAACAAGTAAACTCCACCGCTCTGCTGCGGTGCACTCGCTCTCTCTCAGACTAGGAGTTTGGCCACACGTCCAAGTTGCATGTCTGTATGATAATGATGACACTCAGAACACGTATGACAAAAGTCTCAGGGAGGTCGGGGGCGTAGCGCGGGAGGATGAGCTGGGGGGTAACGGTGCATCAATTCTGGTATCTTCCTGGATGCAGTGAATTGGTCAAGTGTGAAGACAAACGTTTAATAATTTATTATGTCATTGCCTTCATAGGGTGCATGTGTTCCGTTAGGATGGAGGAGTGTCCTCCTTGAAACGTAGCATAGGAAACTCTGGTTGGTGCTTTCACCTGCAGTCCGTTTCTAAGATGGAAACACTGCCCTGCTCTGATTGGGTAAAACTGTCTCTTTATTTGTTGAAAGCAGTGTCAGTTTGATCTCTGTATCATTATGAGATTGGATGGCTTTAAAAAGACTGCAACAAAACACACATTTTTTTTCTCCCCGTTTTCATTTTTACAGATTAACAAAATCCATCCTAGCCACTTTCAAAATGACGGAGATTTGTCCCGCCAATGGAGAACTTTACTCCATATATAATATGGTAGCCTGTGCAGAGTCACAATGACACTTACTGATATTTTGCTTTTTTGCACTGCAGTCTTATTCCAGTTCATTTAGCCAGCATAGATCACATATGTTAGGTAATAGCTGAGGTTTGTGATGTGTACGGTTCATCCTCTTCAACTTAGCTCCAGTCATCAGAAAGAAGCTTGTTGATCAGAAATGTTTTTTTCAGTATCGCACTCAGATTTTCACATAATATTACACTGATGAATGTCACAGAATATATTACAGGAAATGTTTTTCCACTGGAAAATCAACACACACCCTCACCTGTTCTCCTGTGAGAGTCAGGGTTCTTGGACTGTTCAGTTCCTCTTGGTGAAACGTAGCGCACAGATGTGTCTTCAAGGAACTTGTCAACAGGATCTGGACAAACTGAAATCAGAAGTTAAATTAGATGATTTGATCACCTTTAAACTAAACAGACCTTGTTCCATAAGATATCAACGCACTTTCAGAACGCCTTGCTCATAATTAAACTATGGTGCCTTGATCAAAAGTCTAACTCTGCCAGATGTGAATAACATTCTTAGTAACTCAGAATGAACATGCATTTCTGTATTATAATAAATAAAACATAAGTAAACTTTTCACAAAAGTAAATTGTCTGAAAAATTGGGATTGTTGACAGCAATATGTATTGTATATTTATCCTGCTCACATATCTTTACTGCATGGGATTGTTAGCAGTCTTTTTTTAACTCGAGTATTTTTACTGTCTAGTTGGCAGCCCATTGAGGGTATAGCTATTTGATTTATGCAACACTGGAGTTGCAGGTTAAAGATTTGATGGCTCAGGTGTGTGTGGTTTCACGTCTGAGATTGGCTGCCCACTACTGAAAAGTTGGCCTCTCCTCGTTTGGGTGTTTTGTTAAGATATTTGAATTTGGGCCTGTTGCGATAAACAATAAATCTATTAATCGCATGATAAATGAAAATTATTGAGCTCGTTTTCATTTATCGGCTTTATCGTTTCTTCGTGTCTCTCTCTTTCTACTGAAGACAATGGATGACAAAAAGCTCAACTCCGGTGCTCTGCACTGACCCTCCCTTTCTCTTTTCTTTAAAATCTGTTTTAACCGTCCAAAGTCGCAATGTTGGATCGTTAAAAGCAACTAAGCTGAGAAACTAAGCTACGAGCTAAGCTAATAGGACGACCTTGGGAAAAAAACCTCCGTCTTGTAGAAGCTCCAAAGTTCACGGTTGAACCCGTGCCTTTGTGTAAAAAGTTGTGTTCTCTGAAAAAAGAAGCTGAGAACTTGTTTACTGATTTTTTTTTTAATTAAAAGCTTTGCGTGACAAATGCTACACTAAAGAGCTCAAACCACACCGAGCGTCCACCATTTTGAGAACCGAAAAAAGGAAAGAGTGACAGCCCATTTCGCGTTAAGGGGCCTCCCTCCCATTCTTCTTAAAGAGTCACGCTGCTCGCTCCCTCACTATCCATCCTTCGGTTCAAACAGTCTTATACTGCCATCCAGTGGACAAAAAAGGTACTACACACAAAAAATAACCTACATTTCTTTTTAAATTTGACAATAATTACTAGTTATTGTAAAATTTCAAACAGTATTATCGTTTTTCACAATAATTTCTGAGACAATTAATTGCTCAGCAAAATCTGTTATCGTGACAGGCCTATTTGAACTACGCTTGTTACTTTCTGTTAAATCTTTCAAACTAGTTATTAGCATATTCTTAGATTAGTGTATATCTTAGTTCATATCTTACATCTTTACCGTTTTTCTTTTACAATTTATACTTTTGTTGGATGTAACTGGGACCCTGTGTACACAATTTCATTTTACCTCATGTGGTGTGAATGACAATAAAGAAACCTTTACCTTGATATTGTCAGGTCTAGGTCATTTTAGTGACCCAGTGTTTAGTTTGAGGCCCGTCTGGTTGTGGTGACTGTTAAAACAGCTTTGTGCATTTCTGGAGGCAGGCCCAGAAGTTTTACTAACAGTATCCTTTATTTTGTTTTGGTTAAGAGCTTCAAGTTTTCCTTGTGATCATTTGTTTAAAAGTTGCAACAGTGGTTACTTTCCTTACTACTTTGTAGATTGCTATTCAAGGCTATGTACATTTGGTGTATGGAGTTTTTGTTGAAATACTCCGTCCATCACTCCATCCTTCCATCCATCCATCCTCTTTACTAGCTTCTTCCTTTTCGAGTCGCGGGGGTCACTGGTGCCCATATCCAGCAGTCACTGTGTGAGAGGCGGGGGACACCCTGGACAGGTCTCCAGTCCATCACAGGGACACATAGAGACAAACAAGACAAACAACCATTCACTCTCACTCACACCTAGGGACAGTTTAGAGTTACCAATCAGCCTAACATGCATGTTTTTGGTCTGTGGGAGGAAACTGGAGTACCCGGAGAAAACGCACAAGAAATGCACGGACAGAACAAGCAAACTCCACCCAGAAAGAACCCCGACCGGGATTGTTGCTTAAATTACTTGCTTGTTTGTTTATACTAAATTGCTTTTACTTTTGTAAACAAGTGAGGACATTGATTAGTACTGTTAATGGTGCCCTCCAGTGTTCCCCCCACCAAATACACCATTATACAAGCAGGGCACCCCGCCCTGTCAAAAGAACTGAGCGTCCTGCCTACCAAACCAACCCGACCCCCACACCCCCCCACATGCCACACAGATGTCTCCCCCCACCCACCAACAAAAATCACGGAAGATATGAGCACCTTGCCAAGGCAAGTAAACTAGGGGAAACATTGCCCTCCTTCTGGTCTCTTTTGTTAACATAAACAACAAAAAAACTAAACAACAAATCACTTTCTTTTTCAAACCAATTTCATCTAATGTCACTGCCTTTCTCCCTGGCTGGGGTATGTTATAACAGAATCGTATTCATAATTAGTTTTATCTGCTCATGTGTATTTATTTATATAATTAACTGTATGTATTGAAAAATTTATTGTAAATTGTAGTTTGTTTTCTGCTCATGTATCTTTAATACATCAGACTGTTGGCAGTGTGTACACATGTCATACTGACTAGAGATGTAAAATCTGAATGAATTTTAAAATGTCTAGATACCAATATACAATATATACTGTATCTCACAAATGCCCCAAAATATCAAATGATGTTCTAGTTCATAACATTCCAGACATAGATTACACTTTAATAAATTAAAAAAAAAGATTTTTATTTTGTAAGTGTATTTGAATGCAGGAATGGATAAAAATTAACTATAGGTACTAAGAAACAGAACTAATCAAGAGGATCGAGGGTCAATTCATCTCACAAGACCCTCGGAGCATGTGGAGGGGCATTAAGTGCATAACAGATTATAAAGGAAGGAGCGAACAATGCCCCAAAGACCCATCTCTGCCTGATGCCCTCAACAAGTTCTATGCACGCTTTGAAGACCCGAACAGACCACCCAGCACCAGACTCACCTCGCCACCGGATGAAGAGCATCTCAGCGTGACCTCAGCAGAAGTAAGGAGTACCTTCAGGAGGATTAATCCGCACAAAGCAACTGGCCCAGACAACATCCCCGGAAAAGTGTTAAAGGAATGTGCTGATCAGCTCTGTGAGGTGCTGGCAGACATCTTTAACACCTCACTTACCCTGGAGACAGTTCCCACCTGCCTGAAGACTGCCACCATCATCCCAGTCCCAAAAAGCTCTACAGTGACTGGTCTGAATGACTATCGGCCAGTGGCCCTCACCCCGATAGTCGCTAAATGCTTCGAAAAACTGGTCATGACTCACATCAAAACAACCATCAACATCAACGAGGACCCTCATCAGTACGCATACCGTGAGAACCGATCAACAGAGGATGCAATCTCCTCTGTGGTCCACACTGCACTCAACCACCTGGAGCGGAAAAACTCTTACGTCCGTGTGCTCTTTGTGGACTTCACATCCGCCTTCAACACCATGATCCCCCAAACCCTGATGGACAAACTATCCACACTAGGACTAAGCCCCTCCATCTGCAACTGGGTACTAGACTTTTTAACAAACAGACCACAGTTAGTGAGGATCCACAACCTCTCCTCCTCCACCATAACCCTCAGCACTGGTTCTCCTCAGGGATGTGTGTTGAGCCCCCTTCTGTTTACTCTGCTCACATATGATTGTGCAGCTACCCATCCAGGCTGTCACATTGTAAAGTTTGCAGATGATACAGCGGTGGTGGGATGCATCACAAACAATGATGAGTCCAGCTACAGGCAGGAGGTGGAACACCTGGAGAGCTGGTGCAGAGAGAATAACCTTCACATCAATGTGAAGAAGACAAAGGAGATGATTGTGGACTTCAGAAGGAACAAAAACACCTACACCCCCCTGAACATAAGAGGATCTGCGGTGGAAGTGGTCTCCAGCTACAAGTACTTGGGTGTACACATGAATGACAACCTCAGCTGGAGCAACAACACCACCAGCCTGATCAAGAAAGCTCATCAGAGACTCTACTTCCTCAGACGGCTGAGGCGAGCTGGTCTGGGAAGCTCAGTCCTCACCTCCTTCTACAGGTGTGCAGTGGAGAGCATCCTGTGCTCGAGCATCAATGTGTGGCATGGAGGCTGCACAGCTGCAGAAAGAAAAGCTTTGCAGAGAGTGGTGAAGGCTGCACAGAAATCTGTTGGAATCAGTCTCCCCACCATCACAGACATCTACACCTCCAGATGCAGGAAGAGGGCCACCTGCATCATGAAGGACCCCACCCACCCAGCACACACACTTTTTGCCCCACTCCCCTCAGGAAGGAGGTTAAGGAGCATTAAGTGTAGAACCACTAGACTGAGGAACAGCTTCTACCCTGAGGCTGTTAGACTCATGAATCTCTTAACTAGAATAATCACTGTGAAAAACCATATCATGTTGCTGCTGATCTGTTTCATGTTGCTGCTGATCTGTTTCAATGTTGATGTGTTCATGCGTGCACATCCGCTCACACAGACTCATGTTCATGTTTGTGCTGATGTTCAATGTTTTATGAGTGCTTAGGGTATATTTAGTTGATGTTTTTCTTAGTTCATATCTTAGATGTTATTACTGTTTTTCTTATACATTTTATTGTCGGATGTAACTGGGACCCCGTGTACATAATTTCGCTCCACCACATGTACCACATGAGGTGCGAATGACAATAAAGAAACTCTGACTCTGAGTCTCTGACTCTAATGACAGTACACAGTACTGAAATAATGATCACTGCTATTCATTTCTTGTAAATGGTATTTTTCATGCTGTCCTACATTTATTCCTATTTAGAATTTACCTGTGAGTGGGAAATACAAGTAAAGTAAACTAACCCACATATTCTGATAATACACGAGTGACAGTAGAATTACACCAAAGCCTTGTCATTATGCATACAACTGCAGTAAAAATATTAAAACATAGTCAGTCCTGGTTCAGATGACAACAGAGCATGGGGATATAGATAATAATGGCTTGATCAAACCTTAATTTTTGGTATGACATGCTTTACTCACCAGCCTGCCGTTTCCTTAGGGTGACATAAGGCAAGAGGTCGTGGCGGGTGATTATTCTCAGAAGTTGGAGAACGTGTCGGAAATTGGTCTCATCACAGCGGCCCTGACGTTCCAGGGCGAGCAAGAAGTCTCTTCCACTCCTGATGCCTCCACGCTCATACTCATCGATCACGTCAACAAATAAGAAGGACAGCACCCTGACATCCCTGTGAGTTAGATGGGCACCAACGATGTCAAACATGCGATGAAGTGAATACAGATTATGGGAGTTCAATGCTTCTTCCTCAGGCCATGGATCAAAGCCCCCATTTCTTCTGGGGAAGTTATTGGCGTGAGTAGAAATGTTCCTGTGGGACCCCTCCCCACCGATGGTGACAACACTGGGACACCCTGGCCTAGGTATCATCGCTCTGGGCCCAACCGGTCCAGAATTTGCACCACTCTGACCCGAGTCCACCCCAACAGGCTGAAACTGAAGGTGATCTTGCTGAGCAGATGGGTTATGAGCAAGACGAGAAGAAATATCAGCACTCCGGAGCTGGGCTTGTTGTGACGTCATTGTAGGGGCCAAAGGTGATGGGTGGGGTGACAGCAAGCAGCTTCAGTTATATTATGCTCCAGGTGATGAGCCCTGAATGGAAAGCACAAGATCAGTAATCATATTCATTAACTAACAAAATATTGTAAGATAACACAGTGGTTAGGGCTGTATACCGAACAGAGGTTCTTTTATAGCACTGACCAAACTGCACCGGTAGGTGTATGGATTGAAACGTCACTTTTTTTTCAGTGTCAAGTTTCGGTATTGGCTGTAACGTGTCACGTGGTTTCAGCACGCCGGCAGGTAAAACGCAGACATATAATAAACAGACTACATGTTTACAACAGTGAGTGAACTAAACTCAGGTCCAGCATGGCTGCAGGAGGGTCTGGAGATTTCCTGGTGTGCTGGTCTGATGTGTGGGCTGTAGAGCCAGCGCTCCCTTTTTTTTTTTTTTAGATCTTTTTATTAACAACATATAAACACAGAACACCGCTGTGGCTGGGGCTGCCAGCGCTCGTTTTTTTTCCCCCCCGACCTGTCAATCAATCCAGTAGGCGTGTCAGCCAATGACCCATCGGCGGCCTCAATTTGTCCCGAAGGTAAACGCTCCTTGTCTGTGAAGCTACTCTGCAGCTGCTCAGGGTGTACGCTGGAGTTTAATGACTGAACCCTCTGCATACAGTACACGCGTACGTACGCGTGAACGGACATACACGGCAGTATACTGGAGGCTTTAGAGAGCATGAGCGGCCTGATTCATTATCTCCACGACCGGACTCATCTTCATCAGAGAACTCCCGAGGACGGAGCTGTGTCTTTGTTTCAGCTGGTGAGTTTACGTTTGTTAACATTACTGCAACTTAACACGTACATCGTGGTGAATTAAACTAGAATCCATGTAAAGCTAACTTTAAGATATTAGTGTGTAAATTTATTTTATCTACATAGCTAGCTAAACTCAGAAGCTAACTAAATATTGACAGTAACAGATGAAGGTTAGCTTGTAAAACTGTGCTCATCCATCCAGTCAGCTGGTTAAAAAGTTTGCCTAATGTTCACCGTTTGTTTATGTTAATGTTCTCCTCACAGGAGGTTCTGACCCTGATGTTAGGAGGACAAAAGAAAAGTGAGGTGGGGGCACAGGACAATCACAAACTTTGTTGTTAAAAGTTTGCTGTCTTTTTCTACAGTGGAGGCTGCATGTTGGAGATAAGTAAACTTTAAAGGATATTGTTGACCAGTTAAGATTTTATCTCTCAGCCTAGATAATGTTTTTTTGAGCAATAACAACACAACCATGTTATTGTTGATGTTTTGTTCTCATGTCAATTAGGGAGATGATCAGAGCCCTAAACCCCAGAGAATCACAGAGAAGATTCAGGCAGAGACACAGAGGTGCAGAAGTCTGCATCATCTCTAACCTCAGTGAATCCAGTGACCTGCTGGTGGGATGTGAGGGACAATATGTCAGTGCTATCAAACTGACAACCAGGTATCTGTGTGTGCAACAATCATCATCTACAGCCTCAGAGAGAACACTTCCTACTGCTGGAGACACCATCAGCCAGGAGTTTGTTTGTGTCCAGAGAAAGCAGACATGTTGTTTCTGAAGAAAAACTGTTCAGTGAAAAGGTCCTCAGTGTGTAGCAGTGAGCATTAGATAGACACTGACGTGTCACTTGTTGTTTGCAACTGTTCTTTTGAACTGGAAATTATTTGTTTATTTTTATGTAAGAAAACTGCTTGGAATAGAAATACCAAAGTGAAAAAAATAAAACACAATTGTACTGTAATGTGTAACGTAATTTTATTATTGTTAGAATTAATGGTAATTACAAAATTGGTACCGAAAAAAGAACCGTCCAGGAACCGACACCGAAGTGAAGGTACTGACACTGGTACCGATACAGATTTTTTTAGAAAGGTACCCAGCCCTCACAGTGGTTAATAAAGAAATGCAAACAGAGTCAACAAACCAAGAATTGCCTAAACTCATTCTGAAGTACCAGTATTTGTACAGAAGGCAATGTCAAACATGTGATGAAGTGAGTACAGACTATGGGAGTTTAACACTTTCTCCCCCAGGCCATGGATTAAAGCCGCCAAGTTTAAATTCAAGTATCTTTATTATCCCCAAGGGGCAATTTGTTTCATAGTCAGTAGTCACACAAAACATCCATACTAGAAAAGACATTGAGACATTAAAATAATACATGAATCATCACTGTTCTTTATACCTGCATCCAAATGGAAGAAACCTGAGCTCACCATGGAGTAGATGATCAGGATCTGCCAGAATCAGCCTGGCCATGTTCACTGACCTCACCTTGTGTAGGCCAGTGAGGTTCTGTACGGCTATGCCAGCAGTGTTGCCTTGTCTTGTCCCTGCGGTCCAGTCAAATTCAGTGCTTTTCCAGGAGTCTAATCCTTTTTGTCACTGCCAACTGCATAACTTTACACTTTTTTATTTGTATTAAAATCAAATTCCAAAGCAATATTTTATTTTATTTAGTTGATTTATTTTCAATTATTTTTCTTTTGCCTGTTTCAAGAAATGTTGGGTTTTTGTTCCTTTGTTTTTTTTTGTAAACATTACAATTAATTTTAAGGTTTTTCTGAAGGCTTAGTATCACACGTCATTAATAAATATTAAGTGTAAACTGAAAGGAAAATGTACCGTTTATCTATTTAGCTTCTACATCCCCCATCCTCTCTCCAGACAGGAGATGATGATGATGAAAAACTCTTCTTGAACACCAACTTTTCGAACATGTGATCAACACAATTCATCTGATTAAATAAGTTGTTTGTGCCACTGGAAAAATAAATCAACCAAGCAATTTAGCTGACCAATAACCCGTCTTAAATAGGTAAACTAACTAAAGTACTCGTAAAACCCAAGTAAAGCAGCTAAATTGAAACAACTCACTACTTTAGTTAAGACATCTTAGTCAAAGAAGTAGGAGTTTAGTGTTCTGGACCACATCCCGTCCCACAAATGACAAACACGTTGGGATTAATCAGCTGCAGCTCCTGGGTGACCAACTAAAACCTCAGAGTGAACTATGCACACATCAGGCAACATGGTGTGACTCTTTAAGGACATAATATTGTCCTCCAACCTCTAACTTCTGTCCAGTTAATCAGAATAATGCCTGAGAATTCATGACAACAGACAGAAACGTTGCATCACGATGACAGGGCTGTCTTGCAACATTTACTTCATGTTTGCCTATAGTGTTCCTCGGACTAATAAAGACGTGGGCAACACAAACAAAGAACGTTTATCTTACCTTTAACGCCTTTTGGTTATTTTCTTCTCCCTGAAAACGGTCAGAGGAGGAGAAATGTGGTGGATAAATATGGTGACGCTAACTGCTAGCCTACATCTGCTCGGTTTAAACGCGGTGGCTAACTACATGCTAACTTCTGCTGGTGGTCATTTGACGTGTCTCTACAGGCTCAGAGGGTCGGACAGGCCCGGGTAAACTACCAGATTCTGGTTCTGATCCATAACCTAGCGCCAAAACAATTATTATAAAAACAAGAAGAAAACAATGTTCGATCTTCATCTAAAATGAAAGAACTTCCAGTTCACCAACCACTTCACTTCCAGGTTGTGTCGCGCAGGATGCAGTATTACGTCAACAGGGCCGCCATTTTGGGACTGGAAACGCCGGTCTTTAATTTTTGAAGTGAAAATCATTACAGTCAGGCAAGAAATATGGGCTGAACTCGTCCCATCAAAACCTCAATACGAATTGCTCAGACTGAATCTGTAGCTTTTGAAATTCAATGCATTGGTTTGAAAATTAATTTGACAAATCTAAATGTAATGGTTTAAAACTGTATTTTGTTGCATTGAAAAGTCAGTTAGACTACATTCACTTTGGCCCTATAAATCTATTAAAATTACAAAATTCTGCTCTTAGTGTCACACATACAGGTCAGTCAGGGCCGGCCCAAAGCATAAGCAAACTAAGCGGCTGCTTAGGGCCCCGGGGCCCTAAGTTATTAGCAGAAATAGAGGGCCTCAAGCCAAATTTCGCTTAGGGCCCCATGGAGACTTGGGGTGGCACTGTTCCATCATCTCCATCATGGCAACGTAAAAAACATGTTTAGCATTTTCTGACTTTTGGCCCTGTCGCCATTTTGTTTTACTAACTTCGATGCCCCCCAAAAAAAAAACATTAAACATGAACAAATAAACATCCTGATGCATGCTCAATAATCCAGGTAGAAAAATCTAAAAAAGTTAAATCTGGTCCTCTGGACATTCAAAAAAACAAAACAAAGCAAATCAACAAAAAAAAATCAACAACAAAAAAAAAATTCAACAAAAAAAAACAACGTTTCTACATTTTTTTTTGTTGATTTGCTTTGTTTTGTTTTTTTGAATGTCCAGAGGACCAGATTTAACTTTTTTAGATGAACAAATAAACATCCATCCATCCATTATCTTTACCCGTTTATTCCATTTTGGGTCACGGGGGTCGCTGGTGCCCATGTCCAGCAGTCACTGTGCGAGGGGCGGGGTACACCCTGGACAGGTCGCAAGTCCATCACAGGGACACATAGAGACAAACGAGACAAACAACCATTCACTCTCTCACTCACACCTAGGGACAATTTAGAGTTACCAATCAGCCTAACATGCATGTTTTTGGTCTGTGGGAGGAAACCGGAGCACCCGGAGAAAACCCACACATGCACGGAGAGAACATGCAAACTCCACCCAGAAAGGCCCCTGGACCGGGGTTTGAACCAAGGACCTTCTCGCTGAGAGGCAGCAGCTCTACCAGTTGTGCCACCGTGCTGCACAAATAAACATTAAAACATTAAAACAAAACAAAAAAAATTGTTGTGTTTTCAAATCCTGCCAACCGGTATTAAATTCTTCACTTTTTCTGGGAGAATTGTGACATTTTTTTCAATTGCATAGTTTAATTTTAGATACAACAGTTATTAAATATGTGTCTGTTTCTAAACAAATTATTTTTCCAACTAGCTTTTAATGACTTAATGTAAACTTTTCATCTTGAAATGAAACGTGTCGCCCTATTTTTTTCACCAGTTAGATGATTTTTAAAGAATATTTTTCAAGTTTAAGCAGGATGTAATAACTCATGCATTTCTGTATAAAAATATAAAAACAGATGGAAGTTGTCTGACCTCCAGGGGGTCCGTCAGGATCACGAACATCCTCGGGCCGTCTCCAGATGAAGGGATCCTCACCGAAGGTCATCTCGAGTCTTCTTCACCGAGTCTTTACTTTGAGTACAAATAGTCTACACCGGTTCGAGTCCAGATGCGAAAAGAGCGATAGAACGATTTGACAGCCTTTAAATAACAAATTTCGCGTGACTTAAGTGCGTGGGTGCGTGCCCACAGCACCTAATGGTTTTTTAATATTAATCTGAGTGAAGCAGGACCCAGTAACACCATCAAGGAGGACATCAACCTGCATGGACCTGGATCTTACTCTGAAACAAACTGTTAAAGAAAGAATAAAGACCTAATTAGAAATTACTCACAGGATAAAATCCTGTTAAGAATAAATATGAATGGCAAATATTTTATTCTTTATTATAAAGAAACATGACCTTGAAAAAGGAAACACTTTATATTGTTAATCTGTTTACATCCATCCATTATCTTTACCCGCTTCTTCCATTTTGGGTCACGGGGGTCACCGGTGCCCATGTCTGGCAATCACTGTGCGAGGGGCGGGGTACACCCTGGACAGGTCTCCAGTCCATCACAGGGACACATAGAGACAAACGAGACAAACAACCATTCACTCTCTCACTCACACCTAGGGACAATTTAGAGTTACCAATCAGCCTAACATGCATGTTTTTGATCTGTGGGAGGAAACCGGAGTACCCGGAGGAAACTCACGCATGCACGGAGAGAACATGCAAACTCCACCCAGAAAGGCCCCCGGGCCGGGATTTGAACCAGGGACCTGCGCGCTGAGAGGCAACAGCTTGACCAGTTGCACCTCCTTTAATTTAATCTCTAACAAAAAACTAGATGGTGGAGATTTGGACATAACTGAGTATTACTGGAGTATAATGACCCCAACCATACACCAAAACTGGTTTTTGATTGGATGAAGCATCAGAACTGGTTTCTGACTGGATGAAGCATCAGAACCAGTTTCTGACTGGATGAAG